GGCCTCCTTACTGGATGGGTCTCCTTACTGGATGGGCCTCCTTACTGGATGGGCCTCCTTACTGGATGGGTCTCCTTACTGGATGGGTCTCCTTACTGGATGGGTCTCCTTACTGGATGGGCCTCCTTACTGGATGGGTCTCCTTACTGGATGGGTCTCCTTACTGGATGGGTCTCTTCCTTACTGCACTGCTCCAGTATGTCTAGACGGCCTGGTTCCACTGTGCCCTCTTTTCTAGTGCAAATATGTATGCTATTTTGACTGTCTTTTGACCATTTGCACTTTATCCAGCTTTTATTCCTCTGTATGTAATGGAAGTAATTAGAAGAGTCAAATTATTGCTTCCAGCTTCTAGGATTTTCCTTTAACTTTGTCAGCTGTTCAGAGGGGTATCCCATTCATTCTTATTGGCTATTTTAGCCTTGGTATCTTGACATTCTGCAGACACCACACTTTCAACTTACCAGGTAGCCCGCATCTATCAACAGCAGGCCTTCCACTGTTTCACCAACTCCTGTCCTCTATCAATACACTTATTGTAGATAGCAAGCTGTGCATTCAAGAACCTGTTGTTTTTTTTAATTTAGATGCAGAGCCATGCATAGGGCCTGACGAGGCAAGGATCATGACATCAGTTCATGCTATATTAAGGATTGGAACAACATTGATTCTTGCTACCCTGCTAGCACACGCCAAGGGAAATGGTAAGGTAACATCTCTGTTGAACTGTAAGATGATACCTTAAGAATATCATATTGGGCAGGTAACAATTCTGTGGGTTTGGTATATTTTTACATATAATCATTTTCTATATATCAAATATAATTTTCTCAGCGAATGTGTTAGCAGCATTTCATAGTTCATTTTTCTTATTTTATAGAGATTCAGAGCTAATAAGTGTTGACCGGAGAAAGACAAAGAATAAGTCAACTGAATCTTTAAAATCAAGAACGATGTTTTTAATGTATGCTATAAACTAAGCATGCAAAAAACATCCCTTGCATCCCTTGATGATACTAAGTGCAGGCCAATGTTACTTCCATCTGTCATGAGAATGTGCAAATAGCACGAGAATCCATGAGATGAAGATATGTGTCAATTTCTGTCAATTATCTTTCATTTCCATAGAGATATTTTATGTGATGATTTTAATAATGTGGTTCTCTTTTCCTTAGTGACCCCGACAAGCCCCACTAGATGTGGAGGCAACTTTACAGCACCCTCTGGAGGTCCTATAACATCCCCGAACTACCCCGATCACTATGGCAACAACGAGAACTGCGAGTGGTTAATCACCGTCCCAGCAGGCAATAAGATTCTCCTCACGTTTGATAAAGGCCAGTATCTCGAGGAAGATGCCGACTTTTTGTTCATATACGATGGAGCCAGCGATAGCGCCCTCGAGTTGCAAAGGTAATTTTACAAAGTTTATGGAAGCAAATTTGTGGCCTATGTGAACAACTAATGAAGTCATGTAATATTTTTCCATAAAATTTTGACTTTTCCTGGAACATATCTAGAAAATTTCCTTTTAGTGACAATGTTTAATAATTTTCGTGTTTCATGCACTTAACATTGGCAAATGTAACGTTTAAAACGTTTGTCAGCTTTACTTGAATATCTAAA